TTTTTGCTGCAGCTTCAGCGACGCAGCCGAAGCGCGTGCCTTGAAATCACAAGAGAAATACTACATACTGCGACCGGAAACAATCGAGAGCTACTTTGTGCTATGGCGTTTGACGCACGATCAGAAATATCGTGATTGGGGCTGGGAGGCTGTGCAAGCGTTAGAGGCCCACTGTCGCACACCACATGGCTATTGTGGCATTAAAAATGTATATCAGGAGATGCCGCAGAAGGATGATGTGCAGCAGAGTTTCTTCTTGGCGGAGACGTTAAAGGTGAGTCATCAACGACGCGCTGTAAATTTTTCTGACTTAATGCTTTGTTTTTTTTTTTTGTTCTTCCTTTTAACTAGTACTTGTACTTGCTCTTTTCCGACGACTCTTTGCTGCCACTCGATGAGTGGATATTCAACACGGAGGCGCATCCTTTGCCCGTACGTAGCGCGAATGTGTTCTACCGCGCGGCGCCACCCGCTCAGACGCAAGCAGACGAAAATCGTTAAAATTTTGTGCTAAAATAAGGACGCTGCTGCGCGCCGTTAAAATGTGACAAATTCAATCCAAATGAAAACCTCTGCAATTAGTGTTAATTTTTTTTTTTTTACGAATACATAGACACTTTTTTTTTGTTTTAGGAACTTTTTGATTTGTAGCATATATGATTTATACAAAAGTTAACCGGACGTTACACACTGTAGAAGTTGTTTTTTCATAGACAGATATAGTTTGCTCAGCGATTTATTTATTATTATTATTATTATTTTTTTTTTTAATAAGAAGGTAATCGAATACTTACACGATATGTATACATATATGCGTTATATGTATATGTACATATGTACAAATGTATGTATATTATACTTGTATACTGTTGTCCATTTTCATTTTTTGTTAATTGCATGTATATTGTATAGTTAAATTTTAATAGGCCTTATCTTGTAGTAGCACACAAATATTAGTAACAAATTTTTTTACGTCACATAATATATATTTTTTTCAAAATTTGTAATTTTCAATTACTTTTTTTTTTTTAAATTTCGATGAGGAAAGACTTTAAAAATCAGCAAAACCAAAAACACATTAAACAAACTAAAAACTATTAGCGCTTTTCTTAAACATATTGCCAAGTATGTACGTATGTTCCAACTGCATAATTGTATGTAGGGAGAAATATTTAAACTGTACACGTGTTTAACGTATTTTGAAATTGCCAATGTAGAAACTATTTATTACCCAAAATTCTTAGAAGTAGCAATACAAAGCATCCGGTTTTGATGACACCACCGGAAATGGAAATATTCAGATGATGCTTTGTATTTTGACTTTTAGGAAAGGAATTCAGGGTTACATTGATGAAATGAGAAATACATACATAGCTATCGTCATTTCTGAGTTAAATTTTTATTTATTTTTTTTTTTATTGAAGCAGCGAAGGCGAAAATCTTTCGAAATGTTGATATGACCATGCTACTTAGTCTTACATTATCTTTTTAAAATTGTGTTGCAAAGCGTTATCTTTTCTTAATTTGGATCAAACTAACGGAATATTCAAATAGACGCTGTCATGACTATATGTATTTACTTACTAACAAGCGATACAAGAACAACCACTGAGTTATAAATATATGCCAAATTTTTTTTAATTGCCGACACAAACACAAAACAGCTATTAAAGTGGTTTTACTAGCTTTCATTCTTCTCTATACTAGTTCGGATGACATTCTTGTGTGAAACTAACGCATGCTGCCGTCTAATTTTGAAATTTTGTATACATATTTCCTTTTACAATTTGCACTATTAACTTATATACAGAAAAGATTCTGTATCTATTTCGGCACTAAAAAGATGGGCACATTTTCCAAATATTTGGTAAATATTTAAAAACTCAAACAGTTATGGGTCCGATTTTTGGAATTTTCTTCCACTACTGTTGAAAAATTATTGGCTTTGGCTCGAATCTCAGGTGTTAGTAATTTTTGATAGCTTGACAATATCAGGTACGAGTTTTGAAATGTAGTAAATGAAAAGAAAGTATTCTGAGACAAATTAACGATCATTATTATCATTTCATTGTTCATTAAAGGTTCAGTTTGAATTGGAAAATTGGAAGTGAAGATTGCGACTTGCCCTAATATGGAAGAATGCCTAAAATTTCTAGTGCAATTTCAGTTTAGCTACTAAAATTTATGCACTCTCACACTCAACCGGAGTAGCCCTATTCGAACTTAAAAGAAAGGCACTGTTATTTTTTTTTTTGTTGTTGAATATATCCTTTGAAAAGTACCTAATTGTTGAAGCAAATACAACCATTCTTTTTTTCATAGACAAGTAATTTATTTGGCATATGTAGCAAAAAAAAAAAACAAGTAGACTGTCACGTTGATTTTTTATTTAAATGAACAATTTCAAATGCAGCTAATAACGCCCAGCCTAAATGTAATATTAACTCCGCTCCAGGATTTACAGAATTCTGTAACACTTTTCTACTCATTGGAGTCAAGTTTATCGTGAGGCATAGGACGATATGGAAAATAGTTTTTGATATTTTAAAAACCTAAAAGCTAAAAGTTCTACACTGCCTTGTAAAGGTTAAATATTTAAATATATGATTTGTAAAGTTAAGTTCCGAGCAAATAATTGTTTTTGTTTTATCTTTCTTTCTCAAACAAATTTTAAATTCAATAACCTTATTAAATGTTATCTTCCATGCTTTCCAACATTTCTCATATCACATATGTATATGCACACACGACGTCTCCTGCAAGCTAAATATTATACACATTTCATAGAGGAAAGAAATAAGCAAATTTACTTAATTTACATACATATATAATTTGTATATTAATGAGTGTATAGTAAAATAAATAAATTAAATCAAAGAAAAACGCCCCTAATGTGACAAAAAGAATAACTAAAATGAAGAGCAAAATAATTCAAAAAAAAAGATACGATAATCATCCCGAAAATGCAATACATTTCAAAACAATACCAAACGCATTTGTCTTTTGTATGTATAATAGTCAGGAAACCAAGAAAATAGATATTTATGCATGTAACAGTACTTGCACACAGTGTATTATATATGTATGTATATGAATGTATGTAAACACAATGCGTACGTTTAGTTCTGCAACTTCTAACTCATAAACTAAAATAAGAAGAAACAAAAAACGAAGTGAAAATTGTTAAAAAAAAACAACGTAACTCAAATGTAAATAAATAAACTGCATAGTAATCTAATGATTTTATATCATAAATATAGTTAATTACCGTTAGATTAATAATAAATAATACACTTAGGCTATAAATTTAACTTTAATGCAATTACTTTATTATGAAAAACATAATAACAAAATAAAATAACAAGTTTTAAGCTGATAAGCAAAATCTTTAATAACAAATTTAACTCAAATATTACTTATAATAGATTACCATAAACTGTTGTAGATAATTTTTAGTGATGTATATGCAAAATGTAAATTGCATTAAAAAAAAAAAAAAAATTGTCAGTAGAAAAGAATCTCCAAAAATAGCAGATAAATACACATGTACATCTGTATGTAATAAAACAGGTAAAAAAGGAAAGAGTGTGACTTAAAAGAAAATTTGTCGTAAATGAAAATGATAGCATGAAATAAATGTTATTAAACAAAAAATAAAATAAAATAAATGGAATGCAATGGTGCAAAAGACTGCTGCCAAGCAGTTGAATCGTGGCAAGTGATGAGACTTATATAACCGTACAGATATTCAAATGCGCACTTGCTCTTTTGTACTGTGTGTCTGAAAAACTAATAAATTTTCCAAGTTTAAACTTTAAACTCAAATAGTGAAACTCTATTACAAAAGTCTACACATTTTTAATGCAAATTAGCTGCAAATCTATTGTACGTAGTCGTTTTTTTAATACTTGATATTTTTGTATTTATTTCTTTTCACCCTCTAAATTTTAGTTTATTTTCAATGTTAAATATGTACATACAAAAAAATATATTACAACAAACGGTTTTAGGACTTTTATGAGAGAATCGAATTTTTAGAAAATGCACGAAATGTTGCGTGCGTCTGGCGGGTATGTATAATTACATGGCTTAGTAGCGCGAGTGACGAAAATTAAACATCTAATTTATTATTTGTACGTGAAGTGTGTTGTAAACCGATTTTGCATACGTACATATGTATTGTTTAATATTCTTTATATTTATTCGCGCTGTTGCTTTTAACAGCCTAAAGGAATCTATATAGATATATGCGTATACAATATAGATATATGCGTATACACCAAAATGCTCAGAATGAATAGAGAAGTCGATTAAGTCATATCTGTCTCTAGCAAAAATTGAGACATCTCAACCAAATTTGGTGTCCAAGGTAGGTTTGTATTGAAAATGGCAGGTTTGTGTTGAAAATTGGCAAAAAAACCTATATTTCCATAAATACTGGATCCGAATTGTTAAAAATTTGTATATGAAATAGAATTTTTGGCATAGAATTAATCAATTACATGGGACTTTTTTGAAAAATGGCCGCGACCCCGCCTACTTAGGATAAAATGCTATATCTCACAAAAAAATTTGTTAAAAATCTTTGAAATCGGGTAAAACCACGCCCACTTCCCATATAATGGCAATTTACGGAAACACGAGAACTGCGAGAAATCGGTACTTACTGAAGCTAATTTACTCAAAATCGATGTTTGCAACAATCTTATCAGAAATGTAGTTATAATTTGGTACAGAAACGCAATGTGCTGAAAATTTTTAAATGGGACAAAAATTACGCCCACTTCCCATATAACGGCAAATTTTAGAAATGCGAAACTCTAATACTCAAAGGTAGTTTAGAGAAAGGCGTAACAACGGTCGGGTATATGAAGTTAGATTTTGCCCGTGCTTATACTTTTTTAATTGTTTTTTTTTTTTTTTTTATTAATTTCGGAGAGATGGCCAAATTATCTCCCGTAGTGATAGCATGAATTGGCTCCCAAGACCGTGCGATTTGACCCCGCTAGACCTGTTCTTATAGAGTTTTCTTAAGTCACAGCTCTATGCCAATGAGTGGCAATGGACCTACGCCATGAAACCTCACATAAACCAGGCAGAGTGATTGAGAATAGGGCATAATGGCATTCGTCGACTTTTCAAAAAAATAAAATAAATAAAAAAAATCGTTGATACCTCACACAGCTTGTTTTGTTCTATTCTATTTCAATATCGACCCGCCCTTATTGGACAACCCTTTATAATTACCGTCACTCGCGTCACTTTCGTCATGTTATTAAAAACAAAAAACTATTCAAAATAAACACTACTCAACATTTTTAACTCGAATACATACATAGTTACACACATAATATACATACATACACCATGAAACATCCCTGCAAGAAATTATTGATGTAATTACATAGATTTTGATGAAGGTCACTGGTTTCAGTCAGAAATACCTTTTCACCTGCAAACAACTGGCGAATTTAATGTTGCGTTGTTATTGGCGATGGCAAATCGCCCCCTCTCTATAGAATCTTGGACTGTTTCGAAAGCAGTCAATTAGAACTATTCTGTGCCAATTTATACTATAGCAAATAGCAAGAAGATATTTTATTCTTATTAAACCAGTTTGATTTTGACTCAAGTGGACTGACACGTCTAAATTAAATCGGAACTATGTTCTCTAGGCAATCTTGAGCATTTAGAACCGGTTGCTGACTTCCTGCAGGGATGTGATTTTGGTAAACTAAAATTCATACACTTACACACACACATACATACATAAATACAAAAATACACTCGCAAGAATGTATGTAGGTTCCCGTTTTAATATTAAATAATAAAGATAATTATGAGATATTAAGTTAACTAAAAACTTGTTTTAGCCTAATTGAAATTGTGAAGAAGAATACTGCGGATAATGTAGTGTTTTTTGCATTGATTTAAAGAGAAAACAAACGGATATGTAATTGACATAAAATTTATTGTATAGAAACTTTGCAAAATGTATGTATGGTAATCTTAGCCCAAACAAAAAATGATTACAAATTTAAATATTATTAATTAATTAATTAATATGAATATAATTAATGATATATAATAGTTTATATAGTAATTGTAGTTTTGTTTAAATGAATTATAATTAATTAAATAATTCGTCACATTGGAATATACATGCATACATATATTTACAAATAAAATAAACGAATGAGAAATTGTAATAAAACTAAAAAAAAATCAACCGAAATTGGTGTTGTTTTATTTTATTTTGTATTTTTTTTGTTGAAAAATAATTCAGATAGGCAATAAGAAAAATATTTTATTTATTGTTACAAACACAAAAATTTACATGTATTTTGTTTTTGCTTTTGCTGCGTGAACTGTCAAAATCTGTAATAGTGTGTGTGTGTGAAGTGCAAACAAAATATTTCAATTTGACATTCGAAGCCGTTAGGCGAAACACTCCGCTCTCAAAATAGGTAAGTACCTTACGAAGTAATCCATGTTTTCTTTCAACTTTTTGTACCAATGTCATCTACTAGTAGAACACAAAAAGAACACCGCCGACCGCCGAACTACTCCGAGGGACTGCGCTACATTCTACATACCTTACTTTGTAAAGAAGCTGAGAAGTATGCCTGCTACCAAATGTACAGACATTCCAAACTCACCACGCCTTTGCGTAGGTAAGGGAGATTCGGCAGGGGAATGGTAAGGACCGCTAGGTGAAGTGCAATGCCTTACCAGAAATTAAAAATTTTAAAGTAAATCTGCTAAAAACATCTGCTACCAATGCGGACACTTCAGCAGAAGATACACAAACCAGGATAAACATTTCAAATCCAAAGAAAATCCTCATAAAATGCATTTATACATATTCAGCTCTATGCAAATCGAATTTTTCGCAAATGAGGAAAACACTTTTTAATGCAATCAAATCGTAATGTCCTTTCGACGAACCAAAACACCGCTTTAAATGTCATTCAGTAGTGAAAATGCAGAGATGCCATTTCCATCATATCGTATGAATGGTTCGGAGTATCTACAAGTTTTTGGGAAAATCAGCTGCTACTTTACATCCGCAATTAAATATCTTCAACAAAGCTTCATACTTCAGTACCTTAAGGCGAAAATAGGTACGAGTAGGTTCACAAAATAATTGTTAAATTGAAAGAAAATTACGTTCCCCGATTGGGTTGCTTGCGCACCTGATGTTAGTCCCATCGAGGATCTCTGGGAATGGACGGTCCAACAATTTTACAAAAATTTCCCACCATAGGGAAAACTTGGGATTCAATAACTCTAATAAATGCATAGTAATTATACTAATCCCAAATCCTAATAAATTACTGAAAAATAATTGAATATTTTTTATTCATTTTTCAGATCTTGCCTATCATAATAAAATACAATTTTCTGCTGCTTTTCGTTACTTTTTTCTAGCTTATAAAATATGCGGTTAAATCAAAAAATTTATTTCGCAATACAAGTAATTTTTATGCTAAAACCACAACCAGTGATGGACAATTAGTGTGCATTGTGTCATAATAATAATGTTAATTTTCAAAGTTTTTAAAATTTCCAAATTCGTAATGAAAGAGCATGAAAAATACTACTGAGATCAAAAAACATAATGTGTATATGAATTATATATGGCGCCACATTACCCAAAATACTGAGTGTTCTTATTTTCAGGGAAAAAACTTCTTACGACTTTCGAGGCATTTTACCGGACATTAAACCTATTGGAAAAGATTCTCCGTTTTATCTAGTAACCACAAACAAATTTTCAAAAAAAATAAAAATGATGTTTTTGAAAAGATTGAGTCATTTGATTTTTCCAAAAACGGCCATTTTGTTAATTTTCAAATTTTTTTAAAATTTCAAGTATGCAAAGAGCATCAAAAGCACTTCTACAATCAAAAAACCGAGTTGAAAAATATAGATTTAGAAAAAAATTTAAAGATTTGAAAAAAAATGTCGGCCGTTTTTCTCTAAAACCACAATTTGCCCTACAATTTTAAGATACTCGTAACTCTGCGATTTTTTTTTGCAAAACAAAAAAATACGTGTCTATTTATTTGTCCTAAAAAACACGAAAAGTCGTATTAAACTTGATTTCGAATTTTGAACCCATTCATCCTGCATGAATTGAAATAGAATCAGCCCGGTAGCATACATACAAAAAAAAAAACTATCCGATGAATTGATAAAATAAAGGCCTAAATAATTATTTTTCTAAAAAACTCCTTAAATATTGCAGAGGTAAAAAAGTGAGTTTACCTGTAAAAAATTAAGTGTATTACTCCGTCCGACCACATCGATATATATATACATATATACATACAGCTTTAACACCTGTCGATTAGACGCTTTTGCACGGCAGAAATACACTTGGGGGGTTTGACATTTCCTGCCAAGTTCCCCGGTGTCTCCTACCAATCACTGCATTTCACATATTCATCCGTAGATAGGTCGTGGCTGAATTTAAAGCCGTCAAGAATAGTATAGTGTCCGCATACTGTGGCATTTAAACACCCGGCGTCCCTAGCAGCCT